CGCGTAATAGAAAGGTATAGTGTTTGCGAGAAATACCTGAAACGTTAAATTAATTCTCTACTAGCGGCAAAGAAAATCGTAACGGGTTTAGTAAAAAAATGCGGAAAACACAATATTTTTATACTAAAGATTTACAAACGAACGATTTATTTATTGACACTGCTCATGTAACATTCTCTCCTTAGCTTCTTTTATTCTCTTTTTAATTAATCGATCAGGTTCATTATATTTAATTGGATTTTTTGTTTTGAATGATTTTCTTTCATTCATTAATAGTAATATTTCTTCATTCAGTCATCCAGTTTTTATGCTTCCTTTTCTTTGGCTTTTAGTTTTCATTTGCTGTTTTAATTATTGCTACTTTTATATTTTCCTATTTCTGATCAATGCTATAGGTTTTTATTCAGTTCTTAAGCATTACGTAGATTTTCAATAAGAGTTTTTACAGTTTTTTTCCTATTTTGTGGTTCCCTTAATCTCTTAATATCAATTCTACTTTGTGTGAGTTAACCAGTTTCAGTTTGGTTTGTAATGTGACTACTGTGCGGTTGTGGTCTAAACCGATGTATGCTTCAGGGTAAGTTTTGGAAGACAGTATAGAATAACGAAATCTTTGTCTAATGAGGACAAAGTCAATTTGATTTCGGATTATTATATTCGTTGTATCACCGGAAGATTTCCTTGTATACAATCTTCTTTTTAGTAGCTTAAAAAGTGTATTAGCTATTATAAATTCTTTCGTCTGGCAAAATTGTATCAAACGATCACCACGTTCATTTCTATTTCCTAGACCATATTCCCCCACATATACATCCACTCTTCCCTGTCCAACTTTGGCATTAAAGTCGCCCATTACTATTGTAGTGTGATGTTTCTTCATGGATTTTAAGACTTGTTGTAAATCTTGGTAAAATAGTTCGATATCGTCGTCATCTTTATCTGCCGTAGGAGCATAAACTTTTAATAAAATTTACTATATCTTTTTTAGACTGAAGTTGTTTTATTAAGATCCTATCAGAATAAGAAGTAAAGCTTCTCACGGATTAATTTACCTTTTTTGCAACTAAGATAGCAACACCATAGAGATGATTAACCTAGTTATTACCTGAATAATACTTGTTTCCATTATTTGTAATTTGTTTGCCTTAACCTGGCCACTGTACGTTCGCTAATTTACCATTTGCTTGTAGTATTCTGACATTCCAGGTCGCTATTTTCGATGTCTTAAGTACACAGGGATTTCCCTGGTTTACGACCTAGGAGGCCCTGTGATCTACGGTTATTCCTTCCATGCCGGATCTTGGATTTCGTGCTCCATAATCAGTAAGTTTGTTTACTCTACTTGTCATTTTCTCGTTTTCTACTAAGGTTTACTCGGTGGAAAATCAACCTTATTATTATGTATTAAAATATTAGTATATAAAGCAATCATCCGACCAATCTGCACATACCAGATTCAACTGTGGGGAACTATAGCAGATAACAACATAACAGTATAGAGCGATTTTAATCTAAGGTTCTTCGTGCCATTACTGATGCACTGTGGTTCAAGCCGCATTTCAAGTGCAAACATTTACAAAAACTTGGAGATTAAAACAGTAAAGCAAATGATCGTTAAAAACAACAATATATATTTAAAGGGACTGAAAAATACCCAAAATGTTTACAGCAAGTTTATTGGATAACTCCACACAACTTAATAAATTAAACCTCAGAACTTCTCTTCTAGACAGTCTTAACAAGTCTAGACAGTTTTAGTAATAAACACTAAACTCACTAATGTTATTGGTCATTGAACTAAAACTCTTGTTTACATATGTTTTTTTCGACAAAAATGGTTAGTTTTACTTGTTATGTACCCTACTGTAAGTAATCACAAATAAAAAAATGAAAAGATACAGAGATTCACATTGGATTCACAGTGCCTTTATAGTTCCACTGTATTTAGCTATTTTTTGTAAAAAAGGCTTAACTTTATATTTAAGCCATTTGTAACATTTTTTTTATTATTAATATATTAAATATTTCTAATTCCTTTTACCCCCGTGCGATACGCCTATGATCGTGTATCGATAGCAAAATATTGTAGATACCCAGCCAAAATGGAAATCCATAATTAGGAATGGTTTTTAATCCTTCCGTTATAATATTCATTATGAAAAGAGTATAATGCGTTTCCTTTTCATAAATTGGTAATTTTCGTCGAAGGCCCGTTTCTTTTGACAATAACTTAATCCCAAGTATTGTCTGTTTCTTATGTCCAATTGTTAATACCGATTATTTTACCTCAAAGTTTCCAATAGTCGTTAAGGCCTTACCTTCTGAGAAACACATACAACTGTCCTATCATTCGTAAGTGGGGGAATATTTTCTTCTTTCTTTTTCAGGGACAGTTGGTGAAATTTTGAGTAGAACCAAGTTACTTGTTGGTGGCAGTTGTTAAGTGAGGTATATCTCGTGAGACTTTTTGGTGGGCCGTTGTTGAGTTAAGGCCAATATCTCGTGTTACGCTTTGCTCACTTCATTTCTTATCGTATCGCCTTTGTGAATTATTTTCTAAGTGTGTATACACTTTATATTTGAGTTTTCTTTCTTTAGACTATATTAAATTATATACAGTTTTACACTACCTTTAATGGTTATTAAATTCAGTGTTTAGTACCAGAAAAGTATTAAATTCAGTGAATTAAGCTGCCTTCGTCAAGATCTACTTGTAAGTAATTTTATCTACAATTATCTGGGCGAGTAATATGGTATGGTACCATATCACCTGCCATTATCTGGACGTATCATCTAAATCTTCACCTGAAGATTGCCGATTTTTGAATGTAATTGAACCATTCAAGAAATTTCTATAAATATTACCTATGAACATACAAAACTCAGTTTTTTATTAAATAATAGTGCGAGATAGTTAATTGACTTAGCCAAGTGCGGTTTGGTTTATGTTTTCATTCTTGTAACCTTTTTGTTTTTTTTTGTAAATTTAGAGTTAAGTAATATTTGCTATCTTTTGTATTTCCTATAATTTTTGTTCATTATCTTTTATTTGATATCTCGAGATACGCCAAACTATATTTGTATATGATTGCCTTATACATCTTGGTAAAGGTATTTTTTTATTACATTAAAGCTTAATTTTATACATATATAACACCATTTCATAGTTGTGTATTTTTATTACATGGGTTGCATTTAGCAGCATCATAATTTTGTGTTTAATATATTGTTATTGTTTTATACATGTATTTTATTTGTCGGCTCCTAACAAGTTCCCTGATAAAATAATAGCTCTGAACAATTACTATCTTTAAATATTACTATACTTTTGAACTGTAGAAAGATCAGGCTGATTAAGTTTCGTAGGTAAGTAAGTGTAATACTTAATATATTTATTATTTGTTTATATATTGCGTTGACCAGATTTATTTGATAATTTACTGTTGGTATCTTTCCTTGGGTTTGATCTCTGAACCTAAATATCTTTTCTTATCTCTCTTCTTTTCTAAGGTTTTCTTAATTTTCTCCTTAACCCCAAAAAATTGAGTGACGCCCTGTTTCTATCTTCTCTTATCTTTGGTAATTTTACCCATCTATCTTTTTGTTTACTTCTGTATCTTTTCTAATATCTCTTATCCTATCTTTACCTATTTCTTCCGTTGGATCCATTCCCGGTTCCAAAAGCTAGTTTCGAACCCACGACTCGCTCTCCACCAACCATCTGGCTGCCGTCCGCAGTGTCTCCCTTGGTTATCTTTCTAGCACCACCCAAAAAAGATTTCCGAGGTTACACATCTTTGCATGATTTTTAAGTAATTATCTTTCTCTTGACACTTTTTAAGGTTTTCCAGGAATATATGATCAGTATATCCGTTCTGTTTAAATATGGTGAACTAAAATGCCTTGACAGTTTGACATTTAACCCAGATGATTAAATGAAAACTATTCTTTTCATGCCAGAATAAATGCAAAGTTGATCTGATTTTAAATTTTTTAATTGTTTGTTTAGCAAATGCTCTGTCAACACTGAGAATAGTTAAGTTTGAAGACGACAGTCTCATTATCATGTTCTTGAATGTAATCCTCTTAGATGAAACTCCAAAAAACTCACTTATTTCTTTAAACATTTTGCGACGTTGATATATACGATTGTGTAAAAAGTTTTAACAAAAATATCAAATAACTAACAAATTTTTTTCATTCGGGAGTATACCAAAATATGGCGCCGCAGAGGCATGTGTAGAATAACCCACTGGGAAAAAATTCCAGGACACAGACAAGCGTAGAAATACTTTTTTCCTAGTTTCGTAAAAATCCATTGAAGTTTGAGAGGGCCGAACTTGTTGGAGAGTAATTACATGTGTTGTCACTGGACAATGCTAACTTAAATATCATCTTTATAAAGTGGTGACTAAGAAATATGCAAATTTAGCAAAAATGCAGAGGAAACAGCCGAAAACGTTATTTTCAACTGAAAGCTAACTGTTTGGCATTGCACATAATTTCCTTAAATATATTTTTTTGAGCCTGACCAAGGAACACATATATCTCTTTTAAACGGATAATATTCTTCAAAGACATTAGACTGCTTCTAAATATCGTCACCTGAGAATTATATCGAACTAAGTCCACTTTTTTGAAAATGTGAGTTTCCGTCACAATACACTTAAGGTATTAAAATGTACCATGTTCAGCTCTCAGATGTACCCAAGAAAGCTCCTACATTGACAAAATCAAACAATTGTATTAAACCAAGTCCTAAAGTTTACTACTTTTGAAAACTATTCTGTATCAAGTCCACATTCAATAATAAACGGCTATTTTAACACGTGTCATAGAACATGGTACATAATAATAATAATAATAATCGAATATTACATTCCAGCATGATTCCAACGTAGTCAAAATTTAAACAAAACAACGAACGTGTTCGTTAGTGAATGAATGTTCATTTTAAAGGTGTTTAAAGGTTTTAAAAATTGTGAAAAACAGTTCTTAATATGAACTCATCACAGTTGACGTAAGTATAACGATTAAAAATAGTAGTTATTAGTGTTGTTTGATTTTAGAAATGATGTTGATTGAGTATTAAAAATACAACATAATCTTTATTTTTTAGTCTACTTGAAGAGTTAAGTGATCTAAGCGATATAGAGGATCCAACTGCCGTTGATAAACTTCTTTTTAATTTAGATCAGCACATTCATGATGATGTCACGCTGTCAGATAATTTATTACAGGATGATACTGAAGCTACTGAAAGCAATCAGAGGTAAATGTTTTTTTAAGGGAAACGAGTTTAGTTAGCGCATATCACATACATTATTACACATTCGATAAGTAATAATACTATATGTAATATTCATACTATGAAATATTTTGATTTGTGGTACAAAGAGTACCACAAATCCCATAATCATTAACAAATTATATCAAGAACGGATATTAGAATACACTGGCCATAACAAGATTTTTACCGATGCGTCAAGAACTGAAAACGGACACGCAGCGGCCTATATTCTAGGAAAGTCTGAATATGCAGTTCGCATCCCTCAATTCTGCAGCATTTTCACGGGAGAAGCAATCGCCATTTTAAAGGCTTTAGACATGTGTAAGAGTCATGCAAGCTCAGATTTTCTTATCATTACTGACTCTTTATCTGTTCTTCAGAGCTTAAGGCAAATATATCCAGTACATGCTATCCTGCAACAAATACAAGTAGCACTTTATCACCTACAAAACAGACACGTTAACGTTACATTTCTCTGGGTACCATCACATACAGGTATTGCAGGAAATGAAAAAGTAGATGAATTAGCAAAGAAAGCTGCTACTGACGAGCAAACTGAAATTATGACTACAATTCCATTCAGTGATATCCAGCTCAATATTAAACAGCACTGTGTAAAAAATTGGCAACAAATGTGGAATTCTACTAAGGCTAACCTTAAAAACGTGAAAACTAGGATTGGCACTAAACTACAATTTCCAGAAAACAGAAGGCAACAAGTGATTATAAACCGACTAAGAATTGGACACACAGCGTTAACTCACCAGCATCTCATAACAAAAGAACTACCACCTGAATGTTCCTATTGTGAATGTCCAATAACTGTTCAACATGTATTGATTGAATGTCCTCTTTATTCCTACCAAAGAGCCATCAACAACGTACCAGAAGAAGCAAAGAAACTTAAAGATATTTTAAACAGTAATGTATCTAATACAATCAAATTCCTTAAGGACATACGTTTACTACACAAAATTTAAGTTATATGTATCTCTTTGTAATTTGTAATTTATTATGTGTAATTTGTAATAACAATTTGTAATAACAACTGTAAAATCTGTAAAACCCGCTAATAACCTTTAATGGTTGATGCGGAAATTCTAAATAAAAAAAAAAAAAAAAAACATTTTGGGACATGGCTCAAGTGACGATGTCAACTCTACAATCTACAATCTATCTGCACAGTTGAGTATTATTTATATAGCCTTTCCGACTTGCTTAAATAGAAAAATAACAATTTTAACAATTTTAATAATCTTTAACATAGTACTTTTATACAAAAATGAAAAAAGGTTATATAGGTCACTACATTACACTTTTGTGGTAATATTATTATTCTAGCATTATCCAAACATATTCACACAGCTTTGAGTTGATTACACTTATGATTTCAGGTCTTCCTGGCCTATATCCTGAGGCACAACTCAAACCTCTCTGGGTTGTGTTATTACAGGACATGTTTATTAGTCCCTTGCTTTCCTTTTAGAAACCGCAGCGTCCTAGAAACGGTGAAGCATTGACCAAGAAAACGTACTTATGGAATTTCAATTAGATAGGGTTTTCAGTTTTACGATGTGTTTAGCAACCAGTATTTAATTATTGGTGTTTTAGTATTTAGTATTTTATTTATTCTAATAATTTAAGTGTGCTCTAAAAATTGGTAATAAATATGTACAAGGTTGTATAATATAAGTGCAAAATTTAACGTTTTATAACGTATCATAATCTCCAATGAGTAAGTTATAAAAGAAAAATAAATCATTTGGTCACGAGGATATCGGTCAAAGGAGAAATAATAAAAGGAAATTACAGTTCCATTCCTATATTTGAAGACGTTTTACTTCTTGAATTTACAAGCTTCATCAGTTCTATGAATGGTGAATGAAGAATAATAAGGTGTTAAACAAACACACCATTCTCTTAGTAACCGTGGTCAAAATATTAAAATGTTGGTGTTGATTTAGTAGCTTAAATGTTTTAATGTAGTAATATTCATGTATAACAATGCGAAAAAGCTTTATTTAAACGTGAAAGAATGAATAAAAACGACTACAAAGCTCTTTAAAAACTCGTCATATTGCACTTAAAAAAAACTAACTTATAACAGTAAAGTGTAGATATAAAATTAAAAAATTGACTAAACACACTGGCACAAAGCTGTTGTTATAAAAAAGTTAATATTAAAATAGATTTTGTACTTTACTTTAGGGCGCATTTTAAAATAAAGGATTCTAACCCGAAAAGAATGTCAAATTGCTGGCATTTTCAATGTGTGACACATTTACTTCATTCTTTCTTTTCAAAACCTGATCTATATATACGTTAAAAAGTGTAGGTGAGAGACCACATTACTGTTTAAGGCCTTTTGTTGCGGTGATTATTTTTGTTATTTCATTACCTAACTTTATTTACACTTGTGTTTCTTAATACAGTCTTTGTGTTATATTCACCCATTTCTCTTTAACGCGCATTCTTCTTATTGCTTTCCATAGTTGTTTCCTGAGCACGCTATCGTATGCTTTCTCTAGGTCGATAAAGGTCATATGTGTTTCAATGTTTCTTTTTTTGTTCTTTTCATTAGATGTCTTTTCAGATCTATGGTGGTCCTCTAGTCCTAGATAACATTCTCTAGCCTGACCCTCTTTATTAAGTCTAGTAGCTTCGAGACTGTACCTTCCATGTAGCTATTTGCCGGTAGATTTTCTTCTCCTATTGCAAAAAACCGCACATTTGTCAGACTGTCACACAGACATAAAATGTGCTCTGCTGTTTCTTCTTCGAGGTGACAGAATCTGCACAGGTCATCATTTGATAATCCCATTAGCTTCAAGTGACTATTCAGCTTACAATGCCTTGTTAAAAGACCTACTATGGCTTCGACTGTTTTCCTGTCTTTGCTAATTAGGTCTGCCGTAAATTTTGGTGAATGTTCTCTAATGAACTGTTTCGCCTGTCTTTGTCCTGGTGAAATCCTCCACCATTCCAGAGATTTGTGAGCTACCCACTTCTCTGTATCCGTTCTTGTTACTGACTTTGCAACGCTGCAGAAGGGTTCCAGTCCAATGAATGGCATTGATGAGCCTTGTTTGGCCATTTCATCTGCTTTTTCATTGCCCTTATGACCCTCGTGCCCTGGTACCTAGGCTACCGTAACCTTGCTACGGTCTCCTAGTTTATTTAGGGCACACACGCAATCCCATACTAGCTTAGAATTGACCTCTACAGAATTGAGTGTCTTAAGCGCTGCCTGACTATCTGTAAAGATGGCAATTGAACAGAACGTTCTTTCCTGCCATTCTATTTCTTCCACGCTGTGAGGGATTGCAATTATTTCTGCCTGAAAAACTGTCACATCATTAGATAGGCTTACCGGGAAATGTATCCCTTGATTTGTCCCTACTATGCCGGCTCCAACACCCTCCGATGTTTTTGATCCATCTGTGTACCAGGTAGTAGCAGCTTTTATGAGTACACCTTTAATCCAGTCTTTTCTGACTGGTATCTTAATTATGAATATATTGTTAAAGCTATAGCTAGTAGCTGTTTCATCTATATGTTTCCCCATCACAATATCGGCTTTTAGCTCCTCGGTTAGCTTTCTGTTGTCAAAACTATGCATTTGGCTTATATGTTGCTGACTATGGATTATTCTGTGCATCACTGATCTGGCTTCGCCCTGTATAAAGATATGAAGTGGTGGTAAATTCAACAGGACTTCCAACGATGCAGTAGGAGTTGTTTTTATAGCCCCCGTAATACACAGGCATGCTAGCCTTTGTGTATTACCTAGCAGACTTATTGCTCCCACTTGCTGCGTCTTTGTCAACCACGTCACCGAGCCATAGGTTATCGTGGGTCTAATAACCCTTGTGTACAACCATAGAGTCATTTTGGGGTTAAGTCCCCAATTCTTACCGCACATTCTTCTACATCTGCCCAGGTGCATAGTAGCTTTCTGTGTGATTTTTAGAATTTTGGAATGTGAGTATTCCATGTAAGCTTATGATCAAAATATACCCCAAGGTATTTTGTTTCTTTGGCAAATGAAATCTCTGTTCTTCCCAGCACCGGTGGTTTTAGGCCTTATAGTGCTGTTTTCTTGGTAAAGTTGACGATTTGTGTTTTCTGAGCATTGACTATCAGTCTCTCTTCTTTACACCAGTCGTCAACTATATTTAGGGCTGCTTGCATTCTCCCAGACACCACCTGAGCAAACCTGCCCCCGACGACAATTGCTATATCGTCAGCATATCCTAGACAAAAGAAACCTTCTGTGGACAAATTTCTAATGAGATCATCTACCAAGCTTGCTCAAAGTAGAGGGGAGAACTCCTCCTTGTGGACAACCTCCACCTTCTTTTGCTTTGATGGTTGCTTTACCCAGAGTGGACAGTATTATCCTATTCTCTAGGGATGCCCTTATCCATCTGCATATTACCGCAGGTGCGCCTAGATGCCCCTTCTATATCTAAAAAGGCGGCCATTGCTATCTCTTTGTCTTCCATTGACTTTGAGATAAGCCTATTTAGATCATCCAACGTAGAGTCCGTAGATTTACCAGGTTGGTATGCATGTTGACGATTGCTTAGAGGACTATATTTTAGCACTTTATCTCTGATGTACCTATCAAGAAGCCTTTTCAGCGTTTTTAATAGAAAAGAAGATAGGCTTATCGGTCTATATGACTTTGGTGTTAGATCTGATACTTTACCTACGTTAGGCTAGTATATGACTTTAACCTTTTGCCATATTTCCGGTACGACCCCCCATGCTAAACTGGCTTTGAGGGGACTGCATAGATATGGTATCAGTACCTCTAATCCCATATGCAACAGGCCTTTTGTTGCGGTGATTGTTTTTTGTTATTTCATTACATAACCTTATTTACACTTGTGTTTCTTTATAAAGTCTTTGTGTTACATTCACCCATTTTTCTGTTATGTTATATTTATGTGTTTCAATATTTATTTCTTTGTTTTTTT